ATATATATATTTAATTATCCCATAGTTTAGAACTTTATTAAATAAAGCATATTTATAGTTTACTGCCAAAAAAATAATCATTTATAATTTTGCATGCTATGAATGTTTTGTTATCGAATCCGTACTTTCTTCTTTAATTTAAGGTCTAGCATTTCATTATCAGATTAGACCACCAAACATTTTAAAATTTATTGATTTAAATACTTCGATATAGGTTTAAAATGTATTTGCAGAGGGCAGATATACGCAATACTTTTTACAGAAATTATTGAGAATAACTACTGAGTTTAGAATTTGGATGCTTCAATAAGATGGATTAGAAATGGTTTGCAGAAAGTTTTCCCTTCATAAAATAAAGAGAGATTAAAAGAGATTTTCAATTACTTGGCAAAAATTATTGGATGCAGAAAAAAGTAAAAATGAAGAAAAATGAAACCAATCGAGTAAGAGATGTTTGAAATAATAAAATAAAAGCCATAAATTTCAATCTTTTCTATTCAAATTTTACCAATTTGGGAAACTAAAATTAAAATTTCCTTTTTACAGGTAGTGGCTAATGGATTTGGCCACTTTTTGTAAATTTGTGATTGTTTTTAATTCCACGATATCATTTAGAGAAGATAGATAAATTTTTATTTAATTAAAATAGTTTGTTGTTTTGATTGGCGATATTTTACTATTATTAATTATTGTCATTATAATTTTATTATTATGGGGTGTTATTATTATTGTTGCTAGATTGTTACGAATTGTTGCCATTAATTATAGTTATTAGTTGTTGTACACTAATTGTTATTTCTCTATAGTCACAACCACTATGTAATCAGAAGTCAAGCCTATAATTAGGCATTAAGTGTAAGGAATAGGGCTCATTTTTAGCTCTGTTTCTGTTTGGCGCAGAAAATTTGCGTGAATGTTTTTTAATTTTTCAATTTTGCAGGAAACAAATCGATGATCAAACAGGAATGAATATTGAGGAAAAGTTAGAATTATTTGATGAACTACGTCATGTTCCAGTTTATGTATTGACTAACAGCAATGGTAATGAATCGAACAATCCGATTTCTAAAGATGAAATTGATCGGATCAATTATTTGCAAAAATGCTCCTTGCAATTACAGATCGAATTTAACAATATTGTTGTATGCAGAACGTTGCACAGATCACTTGATGGCAACTTTCAAGCTTATTTTGGACAAATTTATAATTTACAGGTATATATTGAAGAAGAAATTTTATTTTATAAATATAAACATAACATTGAACATTCAAGTTTTTCATTTTCAAATTTTCTTAATTTCTCATAGCTTTCAATTTTGATCTCCGAATTTGTTCACAATTTTACCTTAATTTAATATCACAATTATCACTAAGCTATTTCTAACAAACACTGCTATATTCGTAATAATAATGTGGAAGAGATCATAATAAATCGAAGATGAATTTTGTATCGTAAATTTTTCAGTAATTCAAATTTCTGTAATTTTCAAAATTACCTTTTAATATATATTGAGGAAAAAATGAAAGTTGGACTGTTTGCTTTTTTTAAACCACTATCCGCTATCGCTTATTTCAGGTGAAAGAAATTCCTGAATCCGTAACAATAACAATTTTTGAGAAAGTACCGAAGACAGAAGCTCGTAAAATTGCGATAGTTGGTTTACCGTTACCCGATGAAGATAGTGTTACGAGTGAACGAAATATTGTGGAACCAATGCAGTTCGCCAGTGATCTAATTATAAATGGGTATTAATTTCAAAATTAATTTCGAATTCTAAAATGCAAGTTATTTTTAATGATGGAAACATTCTATCATATGGCATACAACACATAACTGATTACATTTTTTCTAATTAATATAGTTCGTTTTGCTATTTATTTTTTCATTTCTGTTATTAAAATTAAATAAGTCTATTTTGGTTGCAGGATGTATTCTAGCCTTGGCTCTGGTAACCATAGACCATGTATATCTGGTGAGTTATACTGTAATGTATCGTGGGCTAAACAAGGTACATTTATAACAAGCAAATATCAACGATGTCCAATCTTTACGCTGCAACAACAGTCATCTAATGATGCTGATAATTTTGATTTAATACCTAAAGAAGTTCGGTTGTGCTCTGATGAATGGTTTGATAATGATATCAGGTATTTTTGAAGCTATTAAATGGTTGAAAGTGTATAAAATTTAACTAGTAATAAATATAAATATTAAAAGTCACGTATAAAAATACATGACACAAGTACTGTATTATATTTTAAAATAATTTATTCGATTTTTTTTTAGAAGAAAGAAAAAATAATTTATTTTCTTTTGTAATAAAACGACGAAAAAAAAAGATAATTATAATTCCCTGTACTTTTATTTTATTTTTTCTAGATTTAAAGCGTTAGAAATCCGTAGTCAACAAAGAACAGGCGTTAAGAAACCAATTCCATTGTTAAATTCAGAAATTGAGCATCCTATGACAACGCCAAATTATGTATTGAATCAATATAATTATAAAACAAAAATTGATCGGTATCGAAAAATCGGCAATCAATATTCTCTTATGATACGGTAATAAAATAATGATATTGTTGATTAATATAATTAATCCTATATCTTCTCAATAATTTTTATTTTCCAATAGTTCATTACTAATTTTTCTTTTTCATCTTTTAGCAATCGCTTTTATGAACAAGCAATACGTGAACAAAATATGAAGATGATACAGGATTTGGTACGTGAAGAACCACTTCCAAAATTATTCGGAACGTTTGATATTTTTCCATTTAGCTCTATCGAAATACCACGAAAATTGAAACCACGAAGACAATCAGCAATTAAACAAAAGGTAACACATAAAATCATTATTTTATGCATATAATGTACTTACATATAAAGTAAACCATAATACAGGTAACAAGTGATATGGAATATCATCTTGTTGTCAACATTCATTCAGCAGTAAATCTTCCGGAACCTGAACAAGGAAAGTTACTATCGTTTGTTGAAGTTTCATTCCAGGTTAATTTTTTATTAAAAAAAATTACTTTATTTAGTTCTCTATCATTGATTAAGTTTAAAAAAAAATTGATTAAGTTCTAAAAAAAACTCTACATCATTGATTAATCTCTACATGGACCTTCTAATGGGCAAAATAGAAGCATACGGTGACATTAATTTAATCGCTTCGTTTGCTTAATGCAAAAATTGATAAAATAATTTGAATTTCAACTCACAGAGAGATGTCTCATATATATATATTCAGGTAATTCATATGCAAATAAATATGACACATAGCTAGAGCATTAATGATAGCCGTGTTATTATCAAATAATCAATAATTCCTACAGTGCTAATAAGTTTTTTTCAGGATTCACTAGCGCAAACAACAATATCTAATGGACGGAATCCATACTGGCAGCAAACTCTTGAACTAAAATTAGATCGTCTTCGTACAGCTAATAATGATTTTAGCGCAATTACAGATTCAATAAAAATTGCAGTTTACGATCGGGTAAGATTCTATATCTACAAATAATGCATTTAATAAACAAAACACAATGCAATATAAGAAACAAAAAAAAAAGCGATACATAAAGATTTCAAGTCATAGCAGGTAAACTGATATGATCATCAGATTTCTTGAAATCTGAACTCTTTATCTTGAAATCTTGAAATATTTATGTTGATGAATCTTTCCAGATGAAATTATCTCATATATGGGGGAAATGTATCTTAAGGTAACACTTAAAATTCCCTTTAGCTGGTCACTAAACTTGATGCTGACGATCGTGAACCTAATTCAGTACATGAGCAATTAGAACGGCGATGGTTAGGATCTATTTTTGTACCTCTGACAACTGTTTACTTCAGTGGCAAAATTGATGGTTGTTTACGTCTCCAAACACCACTATTTCTTACTTCCTACAGGTTTGCTAATGAATATTTGGAAAAGCATAGCATCAAAAATTAAATTATAAAATAACGAAACAATGGCAAATTATTTCTATATTATTACGGATTTTTTATTACGGTATTAGTTTTTCAGGATTAGTAATCAGCCAGCATATCTCAAATTGTTGATATCTTTTAAACCAGATATATGTCCGCCACAAATTGCAGACATCAAATATTCGAGTGTTGATGAGAATAGTGCAGTAAGAAATTTTCCTAAATCTAATCTATGCAAATTGTTAACTCGTATTAGGTAAAAGGAACAAGTGATTTATTGAATCTATTGAAATATGATCTATATAATAATATTTGAGCGTTTAAAAAAATGTGAAAAATTAAAATTTATGAGATAATTTCAGATACGAAAAAAATCTTTAGAATGGGAGCAAAATGCTAGAAGCCGTTTTGCGCACCGTCGTTATGTTAGTATTGTACAAAGTACTACTGGCAAACGAATATTAGCATGCAGGTGCCATTTTGCATGCATTACTTACTTCAATTGCATTCTGAAATCAAGTTTAAATTATTTTGTAAAAAAAAAGAATTTGTGATAGATTAAGAAGTAATGTCTCGAAGTTATTTTTCAAGGTGAAAAATATAGTCGAATAGACTGATTTTAATGATCGTAAACATAGATGAATTAAATAGAATCTAAGAATGAAAAATTTATGATTTTCCTGTTCTGATTATGTATTTACATATATATTATATATTGTCTTATTATGTATATTATCTGTTGCTAAAGTAAATTATATATTAATGAAAACACATTAATGCACTTGCCATCGGATATTTTGAAATGCCTCAATATACTTAATAATATGAATGATATAACGAGATAATTGCATCTTTTTAAATATTACACAAATTTAATTAAAACGTACGCTTATTTTTCAGATTCATCCGACCAATCAAACCACCAGTAAGCTTATCAGCTCTGTCATCGCAAGCTGTAGCTCGTATTGCATGTCAAATAGTTTCCTACATACCGTTTACTCATGATTCAGTGGTTTCTGCAGGATTCTGTGATGTTTGGATCACTGCTGATCAGGTGAATTTTGTTTGACGAATTGAAATCTCACGAACTAATTGTAGTATGTTTTATGATTTATTGCATCTCTAAACAGCATGTCAATCTTCACCCGTTTTAAGTTTCTATTAATCGGTTGTGGAGTTATGGATGAGCATGCTATACTATTATGCTGCTGGTTGTTATATCTTGGTATAAAATCATATGTCCTGTTTGGAAAATCGCTACCAGAAGGTTAGCAATTTAGAACTAAATTTGAACTAATTTATTAAATTCAAAATTACTACGCTAATGTTTTTTATTCATCAGAAAATTATTTTTCGAGTTTTAGATATTTGCAATTATAGAAATATTGTGGCTTTGATTTGGAATGAAAATGAATAAAATTTTTAAAGTTACAAATATGGCGCTTACAGGTTCCCGATCAGCTCATGTAATGGCAATAGTTCCGGATGGTACCCTAATCTTAAATCCATCCGATGGTAATTGTTATAAATTAAGTGATCCTCTCAGTCCTATCAAATCTGTTGGTACTGTTGCTTGCGTCGGGAATTTGTATGCAAATATTCAAAAACAAGAACATCCAAGTCAAATGCAATTTGATCTAAACGTATGTTCAGCAAAGATCTGTAAAATAATAATTATTTAGGAATCATTTAAAATATATATTTTGAATCTATGTATATTCGATTTGAACAATTTGAAGTATTTAGCCTTTAGAAAGAGCTTTAATAAATAAAATCAACGAGTAGTCATATGTTTTGAACATTACAAGAAATGTAAGAATTACAGAAACGCAGCCAGTGGTTACCATTATTTAACAACGATCAAACTGACTTAAAATCGGTGCAACCGGAAGAGATTGCATATTTTGATACAGATAACGATGCACTGCTGCAGCTTCGGGCTAATCTGGAACGTGAAATTCGCTTAAAATTTGATCAAAGTCGTTTGTATGGAATTCCACATTGGAACTTATTGACTTCTAGGTAGACTAAATTAGATTTTATATTATTTTCCTATAGG